TCGGGCAGGTGAGCGTGAAGCCCTGGAAACGCCGCCTTCCCAAGGCCTGGGACCTGGGCCACCTACTGTGTGGAACTAAAGAAGTGCCAGCTACATATAGGTGCGCTGTGAGGACCTAATAAAGTACGTCCCACCCAGCTGCACGGCAGGTTCAGTGGTAAGGCTGCATTCAAAGGCGGCAGTGGTGAGCTGTGCTGGGGTTGACTGCAGAGCTTCGGGACCAGCAGCTGGTCAGGGCTCCTGTCTCCTGTTCTCCCCTCGGATCATCTAAACAAAGGGTTCTAGGTGGCTCCAGGGGTGAGTGCCAGGTGCCAATGGCGTGGGTGTGTATGGGCAATGATAGCGAAACTCCCGGACCGTCTGTGCAATGTTTTATTCACGCCTGCTGCTTCTGTGCCTCGGAGAGTCCTAAGTTTCAGCCTGTTCCTGAAAGGGTTAGATACAGGTAACTGGGCTCTCCATGCAACTCTCCCGACCTTGAACGTTGGTTAGCTGTCACTGGAGGTGATGATTTTGCACCCCCTAGGCAGTTTTGAAGACCTACTTAATATTTAGATAAGGTAGTTACCTAAAAGGTACCTGGTTCCGTGTTGCAGTTGTTTGCCTTGAATAGTGGACTCTTGTCTATAAAAAGATAAAAGGAGGAGAGAGGCATATTTCCGGCTATTATCCCACCAGCATAGATTATTGCTTTCATTTAGATTCCCTGGATCATTTCTGGACGGTTGTCTGTGTCCTTCCCCCAGGAAAGATACTTTTCACCGTTGACTTTTCTTAGGGTGGTAACAGTTTTGAACACAATCCTTAAAGACCTCTTTAAAGAAGTGGGCACCGATCGGAGGGAAGGGGAAAGTCTAAGGGGCATTTCCTATTTGGGTTGGTTGGTGTTTCACTTATATGAACTCCTACTTCAGGACCCTCACCCTGATTCTGGAAGGCCCTTGGTCATCTCTAGCTCTTCTTATTTAAACTTAGAACTCTTCTGTAGGCTTTCTTATTTGCTAGCATGAGAAAGTGATGGTTTTTCTCAAAATAGATAAAAAATATATATATTTGGTAATTAAATATCACATTTTTCAGAAGCGCATGTACTGGAGGAAGGGTGGCCACAAAACTTCCATACACTCTTGCCCTATAATAAACATCTTGCCTTTGAATTAAGGAATGCAGTCTGTGGATGTATGTCCCCTCTGGGAATTTCATTAGAACATACTAGAGGGGTGGCCAACCCCACCTTCCTCATTAGTACTCATTGGACAGTATTTTTCACAGCTTTTTTGTATTGCATGGGTAGCTCTGTGCCAAGCCCAGCGTTGAGCCTTAATTTTCACAACGATGCGCTGAGGTTGACCCCCATTCTCATCTGGAGTTTGCAGAGACAGGACGAAACTCCTGAGACAGGTTGCACAGCTAGGCGGGTCAAGTAGAATTTCAATCTGGGTCTTCCTTGCATTCATAGCCTTCACTCTTGGTCACTGTGTATACACCCTGGGGCTCTAAAACCATTTTTAAGGCACTGTACTTATAAAGTATAAGACTGACTGGTTTCTGAAGGTCTGTCCAGCTTTGTTCTATGATTCTGAGTAGACTCCATGTTAGTGGAGTGAATCCATGAGACTGTGAGATCTCTTCCTCTAATGATTGCAGTTGCAGTTCAGTGGTTCTTTGGCAGCTTATGAGCCTCACCACTGCCATAGGCTGGACGTGACGGGATAGACAGTTCTAGAAGACACAGTCTTTGTCCTTAAGGAACTTAGCTACAGTGGGACCAAGAAAGGTACATACGTGACTCCAGCCTGGATATGATGGGACATAGAAAGAAGGGACTGTGGGGTCCTCAGGCTGGAGAGATGGGGCATTGTCACGAAGAACATCCTCCCATGCACAGTGGCAGCACGGGTACGTGCAGGTCGTATGGGAATCGCGACTGGACCCTGGTCTCTGCAGGGACGACTGCGTTCCTTTCCCCTGCTTGCTTGGGAACCGGTCAGCCTGGAGAGACGTGTGGTTTCCTAGGGACCTGCCTGGCATACGGTCATGATCAGAAGGGAGAACCATGTCCCAATAGGGTTGCCATTTTCCCCCTTCTTAAGCTGGGCAGCAGTGGCTTCGAAACCACCCCCTTCCATGTTGTAGAGTCCAACTGGACCAGAAAAAAAACCTGTTGGCTAGACTCAGGTGTGCAAAATAACATGAAGGTGATGGTGTCCAACTCTTGTCAGAATGAGCTTCATGCATGTTTGTAAGAGGAAGAGGGAAAATTAACTTTTTTAAATCCTATGCCCGGCGAGCCCCACTGTTGCACAAATTCTATCTTCATCCTTCGCTAGACAAGTAGAGAAAGGTTTTCCCCGCATTTCCTGTTAGTCCTGCTTGGAAGGCAGCCATGGAATTTGTGCTTCTGAACTGTAGACGGAACTCTGCCTTCGGACAGCTTCTCCCAAACGCTAAAATAATAAGTAAGAATAGTAAACCACCAGTCCTGTGTTTACCATGTGGTAGGTTCTGTGCTAAGCTCTTCCCATGGATTTTCTTGAGAACTAGGATTTGTGATTCGTGTTTGGACCCGGGCCTCTTACCCTTTGTGCTTGTCTGCGCCCATGTGGTTCTCTAGTCTGGAAGTCATGGCTAAACAGACAGAGCTACCGTCTCTGGCACTCAGTAGGCTGACTCAAGATGCCTGGGTCCTGAGCCCAGACCCACTGAGTCAGGTTCCTGCTGAGAGATTTCCTAGGCTCAGGCATCCAGATTTGGGACAAGCATCCTGAGAGAAGCTTGACTCAGCTGGAGCTGAGAATTGTAGGCTCCGCTGCCCACTGCCCAGCCCTTCTACCCCCATCCTTTGCTTCCTTCCATTGTTTATGGTGGTCCTGTTCCCCAGCAGCCCTTCAGCCTCTGAGTGATGGTCTTCCCTGCTTTGGGTTATCGGTGGCTATTCCTACCCATCTCATCGTTTTTCCACCCTCACTGTGAACTGTCTGGAACTGGTCCGCCTTCTTTCATTTCCACAGGTGTGTATCTTTCCAACCAAACAAAAAAACTTCTGGAAGGTGGCAGTCCTTTTCCTCTCCTCTTGGTGGCCTTCGCTCTTCTGACTGGGCCTGTCCCTTCCTCTCCCTACCTCTCCTTTTTTTTCCCCCTCTCCACCCCGGCGTGCAGTAAGAGTTCATTTGTTGGTTACTTTTCAATACAGAAATGTTCCCCCCAAAGAATCCTCAGTACGTGTCCATAAGATGCTGGCCCTGGCCTTGAGGCAGTATTCCTTCACTCTGCTGGCTTTGGCCTTGTCCAGACCTTCAGGGCTGCTAGGGAGGTGTGACCAAAGCTCCCTTGGCTTTGGCGCTTTTCATTTCAGTGCTTTGATTGCAAACTGGTAATTCACAACATAAGGCTCTTTGAGCAACTAGCTAGCCTTCTCTGAAAGTGTCCAGTTGTTTATGAGCATCGTTAAACCAGGCTGTTGCAAGTGTTGACTTCTTTTTCTGTAGTTTTTTCTGGAGCATATAGAGGAAGGCCGTATTTTACGTTCCAAACATGCTCATGAAAGTTAGAAGCCCCTTTTAGAGATGCCTTCCCCACAATTAACTGGGGGTGAGAAATGCTCTTTGTATATTATACCCCTTCCTTACTCATTTAAAAAAAAAAAAAAAAGAAGAAGAAGAAAAACGCAAAGCAAAACTAAGTGCTCGGTGGTCCCTGAACTCGAGAGGCACTAGTGGGCAGCACTGAAACCTCTCTTCTTTCCTTGTAATGCAATTCCTTTTCCTTGATGTTAATGCAAGTTGTGCCTTCCTAAAAGTAATAAAAGGAAATGAAGACACGTTCTGAAATGAAACTTGACTCTAATCCATTCATCATCTAATACTAGCCTCTTTATCTTTGCTGGTACCTAATCTGGTTAAATGTCCCTGTTGTAGGATTTTAGTGAAAATCCTCTATGGGGAATACGGTTTTTTTGCAATTGGATTACTCTCAGTAAATGGCCCAGTAGTTCGCTTGTTTCAGCTTCATTTTTTTTCTCTGTGGTCTTGCTGGGCTAAGTTACAGCACAGCATAGTGGAGGGGGGTGGGGTGGGCTGAGAGGGGGCGGGTGGGGGAAGAGGAGAAGAATTTGGGAAGGTCTGGTCATGGCAACTAGAAAAAATCTTCAAAATGCTTTTTTTCTTTTTTTCCTGCTCTTTCTACCTATCCACCGTTCCTGAACATGAAAATGCTTGTACTTTGTTTGCTAGAACTGCCCGTTTCTAAACTGCACCCCTTTTATTAACCCAATTTATCATCATCCAGTTAATTTATTAGCATTCCCCCATGACTTGCTAATGAATCAGGGCTGCTGTAATCTGCATAAAATATGCAGGTGCTTGCCTGGCAGTTGAGGGCCTTCACACTCCCAACCAGACCAGGAGTGGAGTTTTTCATCTGTGCTGCCTGCGAAGGGTCATAGCAGGCCCGCTGGTTCCCAGGGGCAGGGAGCAGTTAGGAGCCGGGGGTGGGGGATAGGGAGGCTGGGTGGGTGGGACTCGGGCCCTGCCGCGTTTCTTGTAAGGGAAGGTGTTCCCAGCCTGTTCCCGGGGAAGTCTGCTTGCCTCCTGAAGGTCCCTCCGGTGGAGCCCTGGGGTCAGGGATTCCCCCCCAACATGCAGGAATGCAGTAGGCCTGGTAGATTGAAGTCCCCACGTCCGATTTACCTGCGATTTACCTGCCGGATGGAAAAGCGCAGTCGGGCTCCATGATGGGGTGGTGGTGGAGGAGGTATTTTTAAAGCCGGGCTCCGTAGGGAGGTAGAAACGGAAGTGTGCCTACCCAGGGAACGGTCTTCACAAATATCTGGTGTTTTTAATGCATGGGTGGGGGCCGGGGCTGCGGGTGGAATGGAGCGCATCTTACAGAACCCGGGCGGGAGGATGTGGCCCCGGGAGGCCCGGGTCCTGGGTTCGGAAGTCTCGGGCTGCCAGGAGCCAGCTTGATGGTGTCCTTCTCGGTTTCTCTCCCACCCACAGTCGAACAAAGTGCCAGTCGTGCAGCATCCTCACCATGTTCACCCTCTCACGCCGCTCATCACGTACAGCAATGAGCACTTCACCCCGGGAAACCCACCTCCACACTTACCAGCTGACGTAGACCCCAAAACAGGTAGGCCGAGCGCTTGGTGCCAAGAGCGCATGCCGGGTCTGGGGCCACCTGACCTGCTGGGATTTGGGGTGGGCTGCGGGCAACGGTGGAGGGACTCCTGTTCCTCTCGGGGGTGTTGAGAAGTTCCTAGGGGAGGCCAGAGACTGGTGAAGGAGTAGCTTCCTCTGTCCTTAGAAGCCCATGGGTAGCACTAACAATCTTTCTAGAGCTCTGAATACCCCCAGAAGGGCTGGCTACGAATCCCACACCGTTTTTCGGGGGTAGCTTATAACTAACTCCAAGAGCCACAGACAGGCTTGGAGGCATCTCGTGGCCTCCTTCTCAGCAACTTGGGAATACAGGAGGAGCCCTACGAGCATGGCTCCCCAAAGCCCTGGTTCCCTTAGCGGCTGAGGGACTCCAGTCACTTGATGATGACTTCTTGGTGCCACATCACTGGGTCCCGCGTCGTCTTTGCTGATTTATGCGGGTTCCTCTTCTCCTACAGTATCCTGGGTATCACCAAGCCCATTATACAGATGTGAAAAACAAGTCCATTGTGGAACAGCCAGTAGGGTCTCAGGCGGAAGGTGCCACGTCATCCTTCAGCCTTTACGCTTTTCCTCTCCCTTCCATCCCATGTATCCATTGACTGCTTTTTCCCCAAAGAGGGAAAGAGAGGGCAGGGTTACTTGTAACCCTCCCTGTAACAAGATTTCAAACAAGCAGCCGGCCACAGCTCCTAGTGGGATGGTCATGGGAGAACAGCTAAGGGCAGGACAGGCCCGGGCTGTACACTGACTGTGGTCTCTCTAACCAGCTAGTTAATTAGAAGGATGAGTTTTCAGTGGCTATTCCGTGTCACTTCATCAGATGGGATTGCTTGGTGTTGAGCTGAGGTAGATTGCCCGTTCATGCAGACTTCGCTGCCCCTGAATGAAGCCACACATGAGCTGGTTTTCGCCAGCCTCTGAGCCCCTTTTGTGCTCGTGGGGGACCCAGCCTGGTGCTTGGATGGCTGGAGGAGGCCGCCAGCCGGCCCCAGGCTCTGCGAGTGAATGGCAGCATCAACATCTCATTTAAATAACGGTAGTACAGGGAATAGCTTTTAAATGGTTATCGTAAAACATATGATTAACGTCTGCAGACTGTTTACTTTTCCTCTGCGAACATTCTTTCAAGTGTGCAAATGGCTTGGTGTAGGGTCCAAGACCAGCTAATCTGTTTGGTTTTTGTAATAGAGAGAAAGCAATGTCTGCATGAAAATGTCACCCAGGGAGACTTAACTTACAGATTAAAAGCTTCCTGAATGAATTAAAAAAAAAAAAATGGAATAGTTTTCATCCACAGACACGCAGCTCATTACCTCCAATACTGCGTTACTTCTGTAGTATTGTTGGTTTTCTTCCCAGTTCAGCTGCTTAGATCAGTTCCTCTGTGTCAGAATTGCTCCCAGCGCTCTTGCTTTGCTCAGGATTGAGTGCAGGATGTGCTCCTGTGGAGCAAGTGTGCGGTGGCGTGGCTCAGGCCTTCAGGATGTGCTCAGCTATGCCACGTGAGCGTTCCCAGCTCTCAGGACGCAGCCGTCCCTGGTCAGCAGCTAGGGCTGCTTCTCCCAGCTGACTGCCTCCAGTGAAGTAGGTTCTAGACCCGAGCCCGCTGGTCTGCTCAGTTCAGATCCTACCCTGGAGAAGATGCCGTGGCTTGTGAGTTTCTGCCACAGCTCATCCTCAAAGCTGAGGTGGAGACATTCTAGAAGAGTTACCTTTTTTGAAAGAAGGCAAGAGTCCCCCTTCCAAAAGCCATAACTGAAAAGGCGTTATTAGAAACCTAGAGGAGGTGACTCTGGTGCAGGCAAGTCATCAGACTTAAAAGGAGTGGAGGCCCAAGCTGGGAGGGCAAAGAGAATGTACATGACTCGATCACCTACTGTGTGCCAAGCCCTTCAGGTTTTCCTTTAGTTTCAATAATCACACTGATCCCCTAAGGCAGAAATACCCAAGATGGTGTTTTCGGGGTCTGCGTTTACCCCGTGTACCCATCCACCTAGAAGGAGATAAACCTATTGGTCAAGGTAGGGCGGGGAGAGATGCTGAACGAAACTTACCCGCAACTCTTAACGGTCATAGTCCTGGAAAGAATGTCGAACTAGCTCTGCTCATAGAAGAGAGGTCTCCGTTCTCCTTTCCCTATTCCCAGCCCCTGGCATTTTCTCTTTCCTTCTCTCCTCCTTTGTACCTAAAATGCCGCTTCTTCCCCCAGGAATCCCACGGCCTCCGCACCCTCCAGATATATCTCCGTATTACCCACTGTCGCCCGGCACCGTAGGACAAATCCCCCATCCGCTAGGATGGTTAGTACCACAGTAAGGAGTTCCATTTTTTAATTCCCTTTTTGTTTCTTACATGGGCATGCTTATTATTTATCCTGTGTGTGTGTGTGTGTGTGTGCGCGCGCGTGTGCGTGCGCGAGTGTGTGTTTTGGAAGACAGGGTTGGGGAGGGAGGGCCGCAGGGGTACGTGGGGAAGATGCTCGCTGAGGTGCCCTGTGGGGAAGCAGGAGAGTCAGTAGCCCTTCAGATGGGCCATGGAGGAAAAAGGTTGTTGATACTTAGCATTCTGAACTCACAGTCCCCCAAGACTCTAGGTTTCTCTCTGTGAACAAAGGTGTCCTTCAGATACTTTGGGAACTGCAGAGGCTCTGAGGGTCATGGCTCTTCGGCTGGTGGCCGCCCAGACTGGAGTCCTGTCGTTGGTTTGAGGCGGCACGGGAGTGGGAACAGGCCTATCATCATTTTGAAATCCAGGGGTGAGACTGGGGGGTGATTCTCTCAGAAACCCCTACCCCCTCATCCCATCCTGAGGGTTATTGCCAAGGTTGGCAACAAGAGTGGCCGGGTCTGTCTGGTGAGACAGACAGTTTGCAACCAGCATCTCTCTGGATTCTTGGTTCACCTGATTATGAGGGGCGGGGGTGGGGCATCGGGTACCCCTGGGTGCCGGCCCGTGGGGCCTTCCTGAGTGTCCACCAAGGTTCCTGGCAGTGCGCGGGGCGTCAGGCTGCCTTTCACGATTTGTCTTCCTATCACCCAGCCTTGCTTTTATAGTACCGTCCATGAAGCTTCCTTGGACAGCTTGGAAAATGTGTGTTTCCGAGCCAGAGTAGAAGGGCCTTCACTGCATAACCATAGTGTGCACGAGTGTGTTTAGGCATGTAATATCCGTTTTGTGATTGTGTTCTTGTGTATGTAGTTCTCCGTGTTTATCAGTGATCTCTACTCTAAAAAAACGAGGACAGTTTGTTGTCTTAACAGGAATACGTCCTGGGTAAAACTCTGAAGTTTGGGTCTTGGGGAAGAAAGACACCCTTTCATTGCCTTAGAGAAGATAAGTTCTAGAGTAGTTCACCTAGTATTTCTGTCGTTGAACACACTCTACCCTGGGTTGTGAAAAATAGCTTGTATTCTGAAGTAGCTGTACATGGGTGTACTTCCTCTTGATTTTTTTTTTTCTCCTTCCTTTTGTTGGGGAGGGTAGAAGCGGACGTGAGCTTGTGTCCCATTTCTTCCTCAGAAAATGGGGCCGTTTTCCTCGAATAGTTCTCTGGCATCCCTTGCCCCGTTCAGCTGAGGGGGAGATATTTGAAGGCTAGATAAAAAGGAATAGCCAACTCAGACAACCCTCTGTCAGAAGAAGTTGTGTGTCTTTCATGAGGATGCTATTTTGCATGTTGCTGTATTTTTTAATTATTGTAATGAGGTGTGATTGTCTATTGGTTACCCACAATTCTTCTTGGGGACTCTCCCCCCCGGTAACTCTTGTCAACACTTGTTAATTTGACAAAAGGCTACAAATTAAGCTCTGTTAATTTAATGTTTTCTCACCGAGATCTAAATACCGAAAGAGGCCCAAAGCGTAACTGAAGTCCTTTGATTCACTGTACTTTATTTTGGTATAAATTTACATTCATTATTGTTTTCCTTTGGATGTGTAGCCCTCAATTAGTGTGATGGCTCCATTAAAGCAAGCGAGACTTCGCCTTTAATTATTACAACAAAACACCTAGTTTCAGCTTGGGGAGAGGGTCTCTATTGACATAAGCAGAGGTTATAAAATTTAATTAGCCATTCCTATCAGATTTATGGCATTCAAATTGTTCTGTGTTTCTTCCCTTTGATCCTTCCTGTACAATCCCCAAGATTTTTGTTCTGATCAAATGAGAATAAAGCTTACTGTGCAGAGAGAACTTTCCCTTTTTCTTCTTTTTCTTTTCCCCACCCCCACCCTTGTTTGCACTCTCTTACTTTGTACCCCCCTCTTTATAGGCAAGGCCAACCAGTGTACCCAATCACGACAGGAGGATTCCGCCACCCCTACCCCACAGCTCTGACCGTCAACGCTTCCATGTCCAGGTGAGTTCCAAGAACCGGGGCCTCCAATCAAGTCAGCCATGGGGGACTTCTCAGAAACTTCTCTAGATGGCTCCCAGGCCATCCAGGGGCCACTCCTTCATGTAGTCCTAATGGTCTAAGACCATTAGGTCTAAGGGCATTAGGCTTTACGTCTAGAAAATCCTGAAAAATTAACCTGAACTTCTAAGGTAGGTGATGTCAAAGTTTCGAGGTTGAATCTGGGAATCAACGTATTGAGCGGTATTTTTTTTTTAAGAATTTAAGAAGGTGGGAAGAAGTAGTTAGGACATGCCGAACTTTTTAAACTGTTGTTTCTCTATTGCCCTATACTGGGTAAGAAAGGGTGGAGGTAATTTTATTATTATGTAAAGGAGAGTTTGAGGAAGGGTGTGGTCTTTTCAAAATTCAGATTCTTCGCTGTCAACAAGAAGGGATACCCTGTTCCCAAACCCCCCCCCCCGCCCCGTAAAGTAGCACTGCCGCATAGGGAATTTTAAGTTTTTTACTAGCCACAGTTTTAAAAAGGTTAAGGGGGCCAGGGGGAACCCAGGTGAAATTTTTTTTAACGATCTATTTTATTCAACCTCATATTGTCAAAATATTCTCATTTTGACATGTTAGCACTGTAAAGCAACTATTAATGAGATTTTACATTCTATTTTGTACTTTCTTTCTTTCTTTTTGAAATCTGGTATGTATTTTACACTTAGCACATCTCAGTGTGGACCAGCCACGTTTCAAGTAAGCCACGTGTGGCTGGTGGCTACCACCCTGGCCTGTGCAGCCCTAAGTCTTGGAAAGTTAAAAAAAAAAAAAAAAAATCTTGTGTGTACAGAACAAGAATTTGAAAGGAACCCATCAAATAACCAGCAAAGAATTCGTACCCCCCGACAAAGGACATAATGATGTTTGCTTTCCTTAATAGGGGGGCATCTTCAACTTCTAATTTAAATATTTTGGGTCACAAGCTCCAGACTGACTTCTCATACTTTGTATGAAATATTTTGCTGTGTTTATTGGATAAAAATAGTAACTTCTTCCTTTAAAAAGAAAAGTCGTGTGTGTGTGTGTGCACGTGTGCATTCATATATCTTTAAGCATATAAATACGTGTGTATCACACACACATACACCCACATGTGTGTACCTGGATCTTTCTAATCCCCTGTTCTCCTTTCCTCCCTCTAATTAATTCTGGCTAATTTTTCAGTGAGTGCTAGTTTATTTACAAACTGGTTGGCAGCAGTAGGCTTAAGTAGTCACTAATCGCTCCTAATGATAGTTTTATTTTCTGTTCATCTGATTTTCAGTCAAGTTAATTAAATCGGTGGAGGTTTAGACTTTCCTGATGGGCTACAACAAGTAATCCATTTTGATGATGGCCCATAATTAAATCAGCATGCATTACATGGCAAGGATGCTGTCCCTAGCTTCTTCCCCCAATCTCTGTGGTCCGTATGGGAACCCAAGACCAGAGAGAGGGTTGGAGAGACAGGACAAGCCAGGCCCTTTTCCTGCTTACAGAACAGTAATTTTGGTGGGGGAAAGAGTAAGAATCACATTCATTAAGAAAAACAGGCTGTAGTCTACCTCCCATTTGTAATTAGGCCATGGAGATCACATAATTTTAAAGATCCAGTCCCCGCGTGTGATAAATGATCTCGGTTTCAAAATCCACACGATATGGGTTAGGCGGGAAAATCCTTGTGCGTCCTCCTCTCCAGTGAGAGGAGGAAGGTTATGTTCATTAAACAATGTCATCACCACCTTGCAAAGCCTAGGAACGAATTGGGAGTCTCCCAAGAGGAGAGCTGCTCCCGAGAGCAGCTCCTAATCCACCGCTCATCTTCCCCGAAAACCAGCATTTATCATTGCCCCTGATTGTTTTTCCTGTTTGTTTATTCGGTGCATTCGAGAGGTTACAAGCAGTGAAGGAATGGTCGGATAGGCATTGGGGTTAAGCTTATCGATTGAATTATCATTAGGAGGTTAGCCGATAATTTAGAGGTGGGCAGAGGGGGTGGAGGAAAGGAAGGAAACAGTGGGAGGAAAGGTTAGGGGCTCAAGGTGCAAGGGGGAGGCCGCCGATTCCCCAGGTAGGCCTTATGAAAGGTAGCTAGTTAAAAAGCGTATACAGCAAATTAAATACATTATTGTGGTAATGGGGCAACAGAAGTATATACGGTCTATTATACTTATGGCAGTTACAGGAAATGTAGGCAGCTTGCCCTGTTCCAGAACACCCTTTGATATTCATTCTATTCAGCAGCTGGGGCCAGGACTTCTCAGAATTAAGTGATGGGTCATTATACTTTAAACACCGTGGAGAAGCCTAGATTGGCAATTAAACAGCTCTTGCTGACACTCACTTGTGCCACCCTGTGACCCCCTTTAGATTGAGATGTTGGAGCTCCGGGCCCTCAGCCTGCTAAATTGGTGCAAGGCTCTTCTCCTGACGAGAGCGGGCTCTGAAATCTGCCGGCTTCAAAGGGAGAGAGATCATGTATAAACCATAATGTGGGTGCACCGTGGCTCACAAAAAATAAGGCAGAAGAGATGAAATGTTACAAGTGCAAGGGGGAAAATGAGAGAATAATGACAAACCTAATGCAACTCAAAGCAGGATTGTTGCACAGGAAAATGCATCCCACTGCTTGTGCATAAAATCAAGGCCGGCAGATGACATCCAGTTAACAGAAACGTGTCAACAGTGAAGTAAAGTGAGAGTGAGCAAGAGAGGAGCCCCTGAGACAGCCAGAAACAAAAATTAGTTGTCCTTAACAAGTTAAGGTTCATCATTATATTCTGGCTCGGAGCCATAAAAGCAGACGGGGGTATATAATGAGCTGCTTAGAATTTTTAGGGTGTTTATTGCATTTCATGAAATAGTTGTCTGCAGAAGGGAATTTCTTAAGCAACGGTGTGCGTGTAGCCCCCCCCACCTCTAACACCCCATTTCTTTCTCCGCTATACATTTTTCAGGTAGATGAATGTGTTTGTAAACTTGGAAGTGTTCGTTCCTCATGGCCTGCACTGGAAATTTGGCCCCACCCCAAAATGTGCTCAGACTGTGGTAGCTACCTGTGGTGTTTGGGGTGTGTGTGTGTGTGTGTGTGTGTGTGTGTGTTTGGGTGTGCGTGCCCATGCCTGTGTGTGTGCGTGCGCACGCACACACACGCGCACACACCCCACCCCCCCCACACACAACACAGTGTTTTCCTGTCTCTCCCCCGCTTCTCGCTCTCTCGCTCTCTCGCTCTCATGTCTGTACACATATTCCCATTCAGCAAGAAGAGAACATATGTATTTGAGGAATGTCAAGCCTTTAAAATTCACAGTAAAAGCTGCCAGTCCACCCACCGCTTCACCCAAGGGCTTCCAAGAACACATGTTCTTAACTTATGTTTCCTCAGAGGCCCTCATGCAGTGGAAGGAACAGAGTGTAACATGGGAGTCCAAGAGCCTTCCGAGGGCTTGCTTTTCATTTTCTCGGGGAAAGGGAATGGAGGTTGTTTGCTTGTTTTTTCCTTTCTCTTTTTCTCTCAGACGCTTTCTCTCCCTCCCTCCCTTTCATATACCCTAAAGGATTTACATGGTTCTTACTAAAAAATCATGTCATTTTTACCAAACTTTGATACTGGCTTAAATTTGTAAAAGGCAGTGGCGGGAAAGGGCCACATCAGGATGGAATTTCTGAGTCCAAATGTCCCCACTGTGCATCCGGGCCCCTTCAGAAATCTGCCTTGTGCATTGGTATTTTCTCCGTTGATCTACACAGATTCAGTTAGTTAATTTTTTTTGCTTGTTTACCGTTTTTCAAATTAACATTTGCTACATTATTTGGGTCAAATGGAAGCTGTTTTCATCTCCAGTCCACATAAGGAAAAAGAACCTTGTGAATACAGGATCCTCTTGAAATCACCATCTCGTTAAACCCTCACTAGCACTTCCAGTGCCCACCAGAATTGGCTGCCTGGAGAGCAGGTCTTCATTCTCTGGATGCTCTGCGGGACTGTTCTGGTTTGGATTTATTAAGAAAGCATCAACTGCTTGATCTGGTTCTCCTTCCCCCGAACAGCGCCCCACTTGCTCACTTGCCTAACCTGGACAGGTTGGAGCCTGGAGGCCGCCATTTTGTTTTCTCTCGGGGTTCTCCCTTTTTCTCCCCTCACCCTGCTATGCTGTATGGTAGTGTATGTTCTTTTAAGAAGGGTGATTCTTCTAACCCTTTACAACTCGTGGCGACTCCAGGCATATCAGAGAACGTGAAAGCTGTCTGATCCAGTTGTCACTTCACATGTGGGCCAAGATGGGCATTTTAAAATTCGCTCTTTATGTTCTGGTGCCATTGCATGGTAGGGAAATGCTAATTCGGGGCCTAAGGGGGGGTTTCAAAGAACTTCCTTAAAAATGGACAGTATTAGAGGAGAAAACAACCTTGACTCATACAGTTACCACTTGGATGATCATTTAGAAGGCCTTTGAAGGCATAGGCAACCTATTAAGTAAACGCAACTTAGGAATCCTAGGATTACAGAGCGGGAGAGGGCATACACATCCGAATTCAAAGCTCCATTTATGTGTGTGTATAAAATACAGCTTTTTTTTTTTCATCTTTCCGTAAGAGGGTATAAGCTTATTTAAAATATCTGTGACTTACGATGAGACCCAGATAGGAAGTATTTGGATTTTCCCCATCTTTCTGCCTCACTTTCTCTCATTCCTGTCAAAATGATGGGGCACATCAGCAAAAGAAAAATAAAAATTTTATTGTACTCCATCAACAGAATATGGCCTAATGAGGCATGCACGGCATTGTCAAAAATGTGTACTTCAGCCACGTTTAATATTTTATTTAGCTGTCAATATGCAACAATAGATTTCACCTTTCATTCTAGAGCTGATTAGGACTTAGGAAATTGTCTTCTTAGATGCCACTAATAATGCCTCAAAAAACAACTGGACGTGTGATTTCCAGCAGGTAGTCCGAGCCTACTTTTCCGCCCAAGTACATCCGTTGTATTTGTCTTTTGCTAAAGATGTTAAAAATCATAATGTCTCTTGTCAGTAGCAATAATGAAGGGGAAGATTGGCTTTAATGACATTATGAGAATCATTATGTTTAATTTATCGCTAATTAATGCTGACAGGTTTCATATGCCTTGGGTTGCTTTCATGTGAGTGTTACGTGCTGGGTTTTTTTTTTTTTTTTTTTTAATTGTGTGTACACATCCCTCCCCATTCATTCATTTTGATTCTGACGATTTACACAGCTTCCTGTCTTCCAGGTTCCCTCCCCATATGGTCCCACCACATCACACTCTACATACGACTGGCATCCCCCACCCGGCCATAGTCACGCCAACAGTCAAACAGGAATCCTCCCAGAGTGATGTCGGCTCACTCCATAGCTCGTGAGTGTTGCTCTTTCGGTCGCTTTCTCCCTCCACATCTTGTCTAGACCGTTGTTGATGCCTTGGCTGCTGGGTGGTGGCCCTGCCCGCGGTTGGCCGTGGTGCGTGTGCCTCGGGGTACCCGTGTCCTTGGATAGACTGGGATTTGCAACTGTGTCCCTGTCCCTAATCCACGACGGAACGTTTGGAGGTCTGTCCCGGGAGCACGAGAGACACTGGCCAAGGGGGAATTGGCCACACTGTGCTTTTCCCTCTGGCTTGGGAAAATGGTGTGTCTGGGACACTCGAGGAAGTGATAATGAAATTTTCTCTTCCCCCACACCCTCGCTACGATGTTTTTGTTCCATTTTCCAGGGTGGAGAAGACCCAAAGTGGAAGCATGCTTCTCATTCAGAACTGCTAGGTTTGGGTGTTGAGCAGCCAGAGAGCTGGGTGCTCTGCTGGGGAGGAAGTGGGACCTTGCAATTGTTGATCGGGTTGTGCCTGTCTGTTCTGTCTATATCCAGAAAGCATCAGGACTCCAAAAAGGAAGAAGAAAAGAAGAAGCCCCACATAAAGAAACCTCTTAACGCATTCATGTTGTATATGAAGGAGATGAGGGCGAAGGTTGTGGCTGAGTGCACATTGAAAGAAAGTGCGGCCATCAATCAGATCCTGGGGCGAAGGGTAGGTCTCTCCCTCACTGGGAAGAGGGGGTGGCATGGCACAGTAGCCCCATCCCTTCGGTCACGTGCTGACTTCTTCAGTGGCCTTCATGGAGGCATGACCAGAATGACCTTCTCCACACCCGCCACCACCCTCTCGCCCAGAGAGAGCGCCAGGGCGGGAGCTGACAGATGAGGTTTTGCGTGCCAGGACCCTGCAGAGCAGACCCATCTCTCAGCCCCGGCCACAGGGTCGTTCGTGACGTTTTGCCTGCCCCTGTGTCCCCTCCAGTGGCACGCACTGTCCAGAGAAGAGCAAGCGAAGTACTACGAGCTGGCCCGGAAGGAGCGACAGCTTCACATGCAGCTGTACCCCGGCTGGTCTGCGCGGGATAACTATGTAGGTGTTCATTTTGCTCAGAGCTAGAGTCTGTAGAGGTGTGTCGGGGGTTCCCCTGCCCAAAGGGCATGCTACCTGCCACCTGGAATCCGGCCTCAGGACCATACAGTCTGCCCACTCCTGGGACCAGGGGCATCCTGTCCGAGCACCAGACTGGGGGACGGGGGTCCTTGTCCTGGCTTCCAGTAGGGCTCCATCAGCAGGCCAGGCTTCTTCAAGGAGGAGGGAGGAGGCTAGTGTTCCATTGTTCCAGCTCAGGACCGTGGGATTGACTTGGGGGCCGTCCACACCTTCTTGCCCAGGTCTTTGTAAAGACAAGGCTCTAGGATATGCCTCAGGGGGCTTCTGTGCTTCTCAGCAGTGGTCCCATGGGTCCTGACAGGGAAGGCCTCGGTGGAGAGAGTTTAATTCCTCCCAGGCCTTCCAGCAGCGCCTTGGCCCTTAAGAGGGAGAAAAGGAACAGTTGCCCTACGCTGTGGTGCAGGACAAGTTGGAAAAGCTAGTTCCTGCTGAGAGGGGCATGGGGGGAGGATCCCTGCAAGCAGCCAGGGGTAGTTTTCCTCTGGTGGGGCACAGGAAGTGCCTCGGGGCCCCGGAAGGGTCGGGAAAGGGTCTGCGCCGGGTGAGGTGTCTTCCTGGGCTCTGTGTTGACTACAGGATTTGCCTAATTTCCTCCCTGGGGTTTTAGGAAACAGGGCAGGATTGTTGCTTTCACTAATCACAGTGGTTGTGACACCCAGGACTCCTGTCCTCTCCTGACCTTGCTCTCCTCAGGAGACTCCTCTGTCTCCTCTCGCTGTCATTTCTTGTTCACATTTTGCCCCGCAGCCTTCTGGGCTGGCTCTCCTCTCTGTGGATGAGATGTCTCTTACTTCACCTGATACTTTGATTCCATGGCATTGGGTTTTATAAAGTGATTTTTAACCATTCACTCTCTAGGGTGGTGAAGGCAAAACTTGCCTTGATACCAGCAGTGGGCTTCTCCTCCCATCTCTGGTCAGTGGCGTGGGGCCGTGGGGGGTCCTTCCCCCGCCCGCGCTCCTGACCCAGATCTCCTGTGGACGACATCGTGGTGAAGGCGCTGTTTGTGGGCTGAGATCAGTTCAGTTAGTGCTGGTGGTGAATGTGCTGTGGGGCTTCAGAGTTAAATCAGGCACGTTGACTCTCAAAACTTACCTGCCATCAGGAAGCCATGGACAGGTGCGGGAATTGGTGGGTCCCGGGCGCATGCTGTCTTTGCCGGCTCGAGCCGTTTCTCATACCTGTCACCCCGTGCTTGCTAGTCTGCTCTTCCCCGTGCAGAGAAGGGGGCGCGGAGAACACAGACTGTTGGGCTTCATCCCCGCATCTTCATCTCTGCCCCCAGCCGCCTCCCTCTGGGTCCCAGTGGCCTTGGCTGGCGGCACGAGGCTCTGTTCCTCCTGGGAGTTGAAACAGGAATTAGTGCTGGTACCTGTCACCGGAATGTTCGCTCTGGTCAGGGCCCTCGTCACTCACGGATGGTCACGCACCGGGTCTTAGCTGCTTGGGACCTTTCCACTCGTCCTCAGCATGTATGCCGTGGGGAAGCCTTTCTTCTGCAATGGAAAGGAAGAGGATGAGAAAGTGAATGCTCTCCCACAGGCTTGCTGCTAACCACCCCCGCCCGTCCCGACCTCGAGGTGGAGATTTCCAGCAGCAGGCCAGCTCTGGGGCCTCCGCATGCACAGCCATCTCATTTCAGGACACTCTTCTCCTGGTGTCGGGTCAGAAGCTCTTAGAGTTTACCTCCACCTTTTACCTGCTATAGACCTAAGTCTTTGAGTGATCTAGAATGGTACCACAGAGAGGAATTCTGCTCCGCTATAGATCTCATATCCCCAACAGACATGCGGGGTCATGGTAGGGCCTTCATGTACATCTTTGCAGGATGTGTACTGCACAACTCTAGGGAGTGCCATTTACCCTATGTCTGTGTGTATGGTGCCCTCTGGAGTTGTGCAGGGGGAGATCTCCACAGAGATACAAGGCCAACTTTGTGATAGCTTCAAAAGAATGCTGCCATTGACTTGCCTGGGAGTCAGTTAGATAGGCATTGCCCCAGGCTTTTTGTGAAGTGCTTTCTAGGTTTTAGAAGGTCCACGAGGTGCTTAAAGTGACTTTGGCTCAGCTTCACATTCAGAAGAAGCCCAGTATAATAGGGGAACCTCTGACAAGACTTGAGAGAAAGTTTAGAGGTAGATCGAGATTTAGGGCTAGAGGAACTTTATCTCTTATACAGGGTACTTTCTGACTCCCGTCACCATGGCTCCTGACACATGAGCGTGAACACACGCACGCGCCCCTCCCTCCCTCCTTCCCTCCCTTTTGTGCCCCAGGATATGGTCTGTGGAGCAAGGGTTAGAGTTCAAGGTCTTATGGGTTTGATTGTGGGGGAACTTGTCGGGTTTGGGGATTTTTCTTAGCTGACTGACGTAGGAGTTTCTGTACATTACTTTGGTCGTTGTAGAGTCCAAAAGGTTCTTCTGGAAAAAGTTTTCTGAGCTGACTTCATGCCTCTTTCATGTTCCTGCTTTTCCAGTCAAGTGGTAATGGAAGCCTTAGCAAAATAGAATTGAATACAACAATCACATTTGGGTTGTCGGACTTGGCACCTTCTGGGGGCCCAGGAGAAAACAGTTTGGTCCCATAGAGCCGTCTGACCCCCGGCATTGTATTAGAACATTGTTGCCTCTCCAGCTCTTCCAGGTTAGATAAAGGACACAAATCCTAAGCCATTGCTCATCTTGAATTCCCCACCCCCCACCTCCGTATTTAGGCTTTTTCTTCTGTTACATCTAAGAAGATAACGGGGTGGCTGTCCCCCCTTGAGACATATGTCCCTCTTCACTAGGTAATGTTTATTAAGCTTCTTCTTGTCCTCTTCTGATTAAAACATAGTCCCTGTTCTCTAGAAGCCTTTAGTTTAAACAAGCCTTTCCTCAGTCACGAACTGAGCAGTTATATATCCTAAATTGACAGCTTCCCATGGGGACTGGAACTTTCGACTGCCTTTCAGAACATATGGGAGGGAGATGGGAAACGGGTGAGCACTGTATTAAACCAGAGGTGACTGAGAATCCGTTGGGTGTGTGGATGCCAACACTGCCCAGAGTCACCACGGTTTTCTGTGCCCAGCTGAGTGTTCACTCAGGCTCCTAAATAAACTGAAACTAGCCCCTCTTGCCTTTTCTAAGATGGCCAGGCAGCACATTGTTGCTCCCCTAGGAGAGGCACAAACATGAAGATGGGCTGCCAAGGCTCACGAGAAGGCCCCAGGAGCTCCTTTTATTTTTTTATTTTTACCTTGTTTACCAAGGCCCACCTGGGTGGCTCAGTCGGATAAGTGTCCGATTCCTGGTTTCCACTCAGGGCATGATCTCAGAGTTGTGAGATCGAGGCCCACATTGGGCTCTGTGCTCAGCGGGGAGTCTGCTGGGCGATTCTCTCTCCTTCTGCCCCTTCTCCCACTCATAGGTGCATGGGGCACACTCTCTCAAATAAATAAATAAAAAGTCTTTAAATTGTTTATCAAGGAATATAATATGTATCACAATGTTTCAAACTGAAGGCCAAGACAAATTTCCCAAATGGTATGGGCTCTAAGATCTTAGAGAAAAGAGGGGCTTTCTCTGAGACAGTTGGCTTGCAGCCCTTGGATGGAGCTAAAACTATGTCTTCTCCACCTTGAAGTTCTCCTTACAGGGCCTTATGGGTTGTCAAGTTGACCCCCTGTCACTGTTGGTTTCCCTTCCGGAGTTGATGTCAACATACCATGAGAACTTTAGGCAGAGGCAATATTTAGATGTTCGGAAACAGATAGACATGTAGGCCAGTCCTTTTGTTTGTATCATTTCATACGTACCCAGCATCTGACCCCGATGGATAGGACCAGCGCTGACAAGCGGAGAGAGAACTAGTTTCAGATCCGCGGGGATGCAGTCAGCTCTACAGAGCTCGTCTCTGTTCCCATGCCACATCCCAGCCACAAGCAGACAGTAAAGATACCAGGTTGGAGAATGTGAATGACCCCATGCGATCCATCCCCTGTAATCAATTAAAAACCTTCCTCGGAGGGCAAGGGATTAAATATGCAGGTCGCACAGCCTAGGAGGTAAGGGCTGTGGAGCCAAGACCTCCTGAGTTCCCATCTGGCCCCAGCATTTGCTAGCTGTGTGATCTCAGGGAAGTCACATAATCCCTCTGTGCCTGAGTTTCCTCCTCCGTAGAATTGGAATGGTGATAGTCCCTGTTGTATAGGATTGTGTGAGGGAAAAATGAGTCAATATGCATAGCGCACCTAGAATCATGCCTGGCGCATAGTATGTGCTCAGTAAATGTTAGCTGTTGTTACTGGTAAAGCCCCAGTTAAAGCTTTTGGTTTTTGATTGAGTAGGAGGGCCTTTTGGCCTTAATAAGGAAGAGATTTGCATGGAGCAAGGGGGGGGTGGCTTTCTTAGTCCACATGGCCATGTCCACAGTCATTTGACACTTGGCTGTGGGCTCTTGGGCCACTCCCAACCCTGTCTCTCCACACCTCCCTAAATCTTCCTTCATCAGTTCTCTTCTCCCCTTTATGGAATCAGATGCTCTGGGTCAGGTTTGAGGATGGACAGAGGTGTGTGGGCAAAGAGGTCTTTCCTTCACCCCTGCTGACCCCTTCTCTTCCCCTTGCTGAGTGTGTGCCCCTCTAGCTGAAGCACAGCTGAAGGGCATTTGGATTAAAGGGGGGGGGGTCAAAAACACTCTGGGAGCCATGGGTGTGGACGGAGACAGCGGAGTGCTCCCCTCCTCCTGCCTTCTCCTTTCGAGGTGAGCCCAGACGCCCTCCTCGCATCTGTTTCCTGCAGTAATTCCTTGTGTTTCATCTGTTCATCTAGGGGAAGAAGAAGAAGAGGAAAAGGGACAAGCAGCCCGGAGAGACCAATGGTAAGTTAGACTAAAGAGGAAAGAGGAAGGAGGAAGGAGTGGTACTGTGAGGACCACTCTTTTACCTTAGATTTCTGTCTGGGGGAGGCAGGAGAAATTCAAGGCCAGGACATTGTGGGGGAACCCATCTTAGCCAGCCTTTTTGTGTATGCATTTTAATTAATTGCTTCATGACTGCCCTTTTGAAGCTAGTAACATTCATTGTTGCATGAAAAGCACATTGTAATTCTAGTGGAATGTGTTTTTAAATAACTGCAGAGCCTGTAACGGGAGGGTGGTAGGCATGCCTATGCGGGATTTATGCAGTCTGCTTATTTTGTCTATGTCTGTAGGGATGAGGAAGGGGCCGGGGGGGAGTAGGCGGGGTGTGTGTGAGTGTTTGATATTAACTGGGCTGTTCCTGAATGTTCTGATGCATGCCTTTACAGTGGTAAATTGCACCCAATTTAAATTAAGGAGGTTTGTCATTCTCTAGGAGAAATTAGAAATACTGCATAGGCAATATCAGAAGGTCCCCTTGGAGAAGGCCAGGCTTTTACAAACGACAACAAAAATTTTGAAGGCTTTGTATAATTTGTTCTTTTTTTTCAGAACACAGCGAATGTTTCCTAAATCCTTGCCTTTCACTTCCTCCGATTACAGGTGCTAATGTCATTTTGAGTCATTAAAATAGTCGATAAACTGTTTTTTTAATTTTTCTTGCCATTATAGTTTTATTAACATTAAACACGTATGACATTTGAACATCCTTTAAAATGACCATCTACACGGTTTCGTATGTTTCGGTAGATTTTTTTTTTCAGTTGCTTTTGTTGTTTTATTATTTTTTTTAATTTAATTTAACTTTCGCTTTGTTTATTTATTTATTTTTCCCATAACAGTTGTTTAAGCAGTGATGACAGTGACTTAGTGTTGAACTAACTGTGCAAATTGAATATGCAGTATTTCTTTAAAAGAGACTGGTTAAAAAAAAAAAAAGAAGCAAAAACCAACCAAAATGGAAGGAATTCAGTAATAAACCTCCTTAATCTAATGGCATTTTCCGTTGCACCCACTAAGTTTTCTCACGCAAGCATGTATCCGCAGTATGATTATTTTCTCCTTCGCTTTTTTTTTTATTTTAGTTTTTTTCTTCCTTTTGCTTTCCTGCTCCTAATTTGCAAATCCACTAGCATTTTACTGACTGTACCTGCTTAAAAGCTGCTATGAGCTTCTGACTAACCCTGACCAGCTCATTCACACCGCCTGTTCACCTTCATCTGTTCTTCTGTTAGTAGTCATGAAAATCGGTTAAAAAAAAAAGAAAAGAAAAACATTTCAAAAGCTGCAATATCCCAATACCACAACCCCCTTTTCTTTCTTTATTTCTTTCTGTTTTGTTTCATTTTGTTCTGTTTTTATTTGTAGTTTTTTTTTTTCCTTTTTTAAACTGTTGTACTCTGAGAAGAAAAAAGCATGTTACAAACTTAATTCCCTCCTTCGCTTTATTTTCTTCTTTAAGAAAAACAAATTGAGAGAGCTAGAAAAAAAAAAAAAAGAAAAGCAGAACCAAAAGAAGAAAAATACTATTTAAAATTTAGTTTTTTCAGTATCTGACTTCCCTTTATCCGCTCAAAACTAATCGGAGAGACAGTCCTTAAAGAAGGGATACTGCAGCTTTATTTGCAACAGCTAATTTCACCAGTTGAATAAGAATGTGATTTTTACCTTTTTTTTTTTTTAATTAAAGAAAGTTAAAAATCGAAAGTCAATATTTTGTAATTAGTAACCAGGTCATTGATTTATTCCCTTTTTTACTTTTATTTTTTTCTTATTTGTATCTTTCTCTCCCCCCCCTTCCCCCCTCTCTCTCTCCCTCTCTCTCTCCCACGTCCTCCTCCTCTGCTCGCTTCTCTCTTGAACTCATTCAGACCTGAGCGCTCCTAAGAAATGCCGAGCGCGCTTTGGCCTTGATCAACAGAATAACTGGTGCGGCCCTTGCAGGTGTGTATAGATTTCCCAGATTCGCTGTGCTGGTCTGCAGCTGGTCTATTCGATCCTTTTCCCCCCCTTCTCTGGCCTGTTGCTTTGTAGCTCTGTGTGTGGATCTTAGGAGACATGAGGGCGCGGGACACTGCTCTGTGAGGGATGTGCTTGTTCTCCCCGCTGCTGCTAGCCAAAATGCCACTGTAAAACAGCATCCTTTGTGCCTCCTCGGGTCAGCGACAGCCAACCCCAGCGCGCCCCCTCCCAGGGAACGTTGCCTGCCAACCCCCTTCCTCATGACCACCCAGGATGGGGCTCAGTGACATCCATCGTAATCCTGGCCTAGGTAGAAGCAAACAACAACGTCACCTTTTCCCCTCCTTCTCTCTTCTATTTTTTAATTTATTTTTCCTTGTTGTTTTTTGGTTTCTGGTTGTTGTTTTTTTTGTTTTGTTTTGTTTTTTTGGTGCGTGTTTTATTTATTTATTTTTTCTTTTGCCTCATAGAAGTCTTTTCCTTTCATGTCCTTGGTGAGGGAAGACAATCATATAGAGCCAAGGTCATAGAGAAGACAAGTCAGCAGTAGCTGAGATTTCACATCCAACTGAGCATGACCCACCATTGTGTTGTATTTTTTGTGTTTACCTTATGCTAACAGATGCAAATACTCCAAAGAAGTGTCGGGCACTGTTCGGGCTTGACCGACAGACTTTATGGTGCAAACCGTGCAGGTATATGACCACTGTGAGGCCTTTGGGAAAATCAAAGCACTCTGTCCTTCTGCTACCTCAGTGTGTCGATGTATTTTGACCTCCTTCCCATCTACTTCCCTACCAGCATCAATGACTAATGATCCTCATTCTTCAAAATTTCCTTGCTAATTTTATGCCGTATCCTCTCCCCACTTTCTCTTTCTCTCTTTCCCCCTTGCTCTTACGAGTGACCTATCCAGATCCCCGGTGGTAGGACTGAGACCACACCCTTAACAGACCAGGACGGGCACTTACCCTTTCACTTTGCAAGCCAGCATCCTGGAACGGGCCCAGTCTGTGGCATATATGCTGAGCCTAGACAGAACCACCGTTTCCAAAGGTTTGAATGAGCTAAAAGCTTGGCAGCAAGGGCCATTCCCACGTACTTGAGAGTCAAGACACTTGGAGAAGGGCTCCGGGGCAGGCGTTTTTTGGTTCTGTTCTGTTCTGTTTTTCTTTTATGTTGATAAACCACATGTCTCTGGACAGAGGAGCCCGGTTAGCTGACATTGTTTTACAGTGCTGAAAAGAAGCGTGGCATTGAACGGCATGCACCAGCTGAAGGGCTACAAGCAATGAGTCATGCAGTCCTGTACTGCAGTGTTGCTAGCCTGCGGAATTACACATATATATTGCATATGTTTAGAGAGAGAGCGAGCGAGCGAGAGAGCATTGCTTCCAAAATGAACTAGAAGAGTCCAAATTGAACACCCGCGTTCCACCTGCAGGTTTCCATCCAACCTGTAATTTCAGGGAAGCCGTAGGTACTTCCTTCTTGGTGGAGGGATACCGACTCGTTCCTGTCTCATTTCCTTTCCTTTAATGACCACCTTTGGTTAAATTTGTTGTTTCTTTGTTCTGATACAAGCAGTCTTTGAATTTGGAATATTATGATGGTAGGTATCTCAACACCCCCAAACACACCTCCCTGTTGTAGTGCCTCCCTGTCACGTGTCCCTCTCCTTCATGCCTTTGCCGTGTGTTCCGTGTTTAGACATTAGATCAGATGTCCATCCCATCACGTGCATGCCCACGAGTCTCCTGTGTCTCTTACCCTCCCCCTGGTGCCTTATGAGGGATTGGCCAAGTGCCTCAAGTTGGCCAGACGTTGAGGGGAGAGAGGGCCTGAGCATCTTTATTGAGGGAGAACTCCACAGACAACCCTCTCTGCCCATTGAGTGAGGGTTCCAGGCCTGGAGAGAGATCCTCCAGTCAGTCATTCATTCTGTGAGATGGCCATGTTCACGGAGGTGACAAATATCCTTTCGGCACAATCCCAGGGTCTTCTCTGTGCCACAGAAAAGAGTTTCATGAGGAGGTAGATGAAGAATGTTAGGGATTTAAGTAGGCCTACCCAGGGAGGACAGGTCTAGGCAGTGAGTTTGTGGCAGAATCTCCTCCATGCTGAGGAGGAAGATGATTAGCTGCAGAATACCATGGGGAAGGATTTCGCTAATCGCAGGGCTCACTCCTGAGCGGGTTTCTCACGATCTCTAGAAATGTATGGCTGAGACCATTGTGGCCACCTCGCAATATGGTGTGTTGCCGGATTTGTGTCTATTTTATTTGGGGGGCGGGCGGTGAGTGGTGGTTTATGAACACCCCCCTTTTTTTTTGTTTTGGAAGCATTTGCTTCAAGTTAGACTTGACATTTTTTTTTTTTTTTTCCTGAAAGTTACCATTCCTAACGTTGACCGGGACGGACATCCCCTTCTCAGACACAGCCTGCACCTTGTTTAAAGCCAGGGTATGGGATCTGCCTCAGAGGCCAGAAGTTTCATGACATTTTTACAAAAAACAAAAGCAAAAACCAAAATCTTGGTAGCTGCTTCATAAACACGATTTTCAAAAGCACAGCTCGGAGGGGCCAGCTGTCAGCATGGCGGGCTGGTGTCCCTCATCATTCCTCAGCGTCCTTCCCACCTTGACACCATTAGAATGTTCCTGGTGGCCATTTTGCTTCTTCGGGGGGTGTTTCTCAGACCCTGAAAGCATCAGCAGATGCGTTTTAGCTCACTGAAGGGTGTAATTCCAAAACAGGATCAGGAAGAACCCTTAGTTTTCCTTTCAGAATAAACCCATGAGAAGCTAAAAGTGGAATTTTCAGGGGCCGCCCCTTGGTTGGAGATGGAGCCTGGGTGGGGGAGGGTAAGCAGATGGGTTTTGCCCCTTTTTTCCTCAACTTTTCCTCTTTGCCAGGATCTGGCTTGATGCTAAATCAATAGGACAAAATGTGCCTTAAAAAAAAAAAAAGAAAAAGAAAGAAAAGCAGTTTCAAAATGAGGCATTTTCCAGCCCGTCAGAAGTATGTGTTCCAGCTGCCTTTTGCTCAGCCACCTGTTAGAAGGAATGTCTCGCTGTCCTTCATAGTCTTCATGTCCAGTGTTCAGAAGGCTTCCACTCATCCCCTCGCAGTGGAAACCTCCGTGTCATCAGGAGGGCGGGCGGGTGAGGGGAGCAGCAGACGCGCGCTCCTAGCCAATCAGGACTCCTTGCTCACTACACAGGGTTTCTAATTTTATTTGACATTTGAGGACATTTTAACAAGATTCTGTTTTGAGCCCACCAAGTTGCTTTCCCATCTTTTTACTCTGCCCTAATATAGCATGGAATGCTGCTTGACGTCACTCCCGTTTTCCTGTTTCTCCTTTTCTCTCCCCTCCTCCCTCTCTCCTTTGTCCTTGTCGCTCTCTCACTTTTGCTTATGCCCCGCCCCCATCCCCACCCCTCCCTTCTCCCATTTTTTAAAATGCATGGACATCTTAGTTTTTTAAGCATGTTTTGATCTGCAGGCTAAGGTGGTTTAAAACTCTGAGAGGCTTAATTATGTATCTTGGTTTCTGGGATGGGAGCAGAACCCACAGTCTGTTTCAATCTATCCCAGAGGAGAAAAGGAACCTTTCCAAATTGAAGGTGAGGGGGGCTGTCCTTGCACCCCTAGAGTTCCTTTCCACCCAGAGGGTAGTCGGGTAGACCCTGAGGCCTCCACCCGGTAGGTCTCAGCCTCTGGGAGGCAGGGAAGGCCAAGCATGTTTCCTCCTACCCGCCCTCCTGCCATCTTGCTGAGTCCACACCCCACGCACGGAGGGGCATGAGCAGACACCTCTGGGGCACAGACCCAAGGAGGAACTCATTACACCTCCTTCCTTTCAAAGGCCAGTGACATCTGACCCCAGGCAGCATCTTAAACTGCTTTCCAGGGATGGGAAGCCGGCCGGCACTTACACACTTGTTTTTAGACAGTCCTATCAGCCATGGTTTTACCTGTATTCAAGGGCTCCTTAGGTCAGCACACTCCCTGTGTTTGCGTGATTTTTACTGCATGAGTCGGGTTGATTCCCAGGATCACCTTTCCTACTAAATATCCTTCCCATTGGACTGGGATTAATAGTAGGAGAAGCTTTGAGGTCACATGCTCAATTTCTTGAATCGATTTCCCCAACCTTTGATGATGAGCAAGAGAGTCTCTGAAATTCTCATTCCTATTTCTTAGGTAAACAGGAAATGTAGAGGGGAGATTCTGGTTTGGGTGCAGGGCAGACTTAGTCCTTCCGGCTTAAACACTAATCACCATAACCCAACCCCACCAGTTCCGTGCTGTGATCCCCGCCCCCCCTCCCCCCAGCACTTCTTCTTTGTCGTCACTTCCTTGTGACACGCTGCGCCCTCCATTCACGGCCTCGGCAGAGTGACCAAGACAGGGTGCCCCTCCATCCCATCCTCGCTGTCTCTCCTTCCAGCCTTCTCACTCTGGGGTGGGGGAGGGGAAGACCCCAAATCTTTAAAAAAAAAAAAAAAAAAAAATCAAGTTTGAATCATAATTTAATCCACAACCTGCAGGCCATACAACCAGTTATTCTTGTTCCTTTGGATCATTTTCTGTTTTTCTTATTCTTCCCCCTCCCCCACCTTTGTTTATCCTCTTCTACCTGTTTTTGGTGGTTTTTTTGTTTTTGTTTTCGTTTTATTTTTTGTTTTTGTTTTGTTTTTTAATTTCTTTTGTTTTAGTTTTGTTTCCCCCCCTTGCCCCCCTCCCCTTCTCACCTGATTCTGACCTCTCTTGATTTGGTGTGGTTCTTAACAGACAAAGCCCGAAAGCTCTCTGGGCGCCGGCAGCCTGGCGGCGGCGGCGTTAACGGTGGTGGTGGTGGCCGGGGTGGCCGTGGTGGCCGTGGTGGTGGCCGTGGTGGTGGCCGTGGTGGCGGCGGTGTGGGTGTGAAGACCTCTAAGCCCCTTGCTAGCGCTGCCTTCGGCTCTGTGGGTGGGCTCAACAGTCAGCATGTTGAGGGTTCCACACGGACAGGCGGCGCCTGGGGAAGGAGCTCCCTTTCTCTTACACACACACACACACACACACACACACACACACACACACGCCACGGGGAGTAGGCTGCTAGCGGCGGGAATGCAGGGGAGACGTGATTAGACGCGTCTAAGCCGAAAGAGAAATAACACACTTCGCAGTTGATCTCCGCGTGGACGCAGCCACTTTGCAGCAAACAGGCGCTGCCTCCCGCAGTCCGCTCCCTGGTACCGGGGCTGGGCTGGGGTCACGGGCGTGTAGCGGGG